ACTTTGTACAGACCAGAATGAGAGTGATGCACGTGGTTGCGGAAACCCCTACCTCTTTCTTGCAGCATATAAAGGAGCTCACGTTTATTGATAAGAAACCGTTGAGGTATTTTAAAGAAGACAATGATTGGTACCATAAATTCACATAAACAATTTTGATAGGTTTTGCGCGGAGAGATTGTCATCGTTGGTTAGAACTCTGGAGCTTACGAATCTGAACGATCACTGGGCCTTATCGAAGATTGCTTCTTTCGCAACTCTGGTCGCAACGTATCAAAAAGGATTTCTTTTGATTCTCGAACCATTCGAAAATGACAATGACACTATACCAAATCCCATTCTTCATTTCACGTGAGTGCTGTTGACTAAAATTTTCGTTTTTCATTTCCATTCTGATGATAAACTTTAGATGCCTTGATGCCACACTCGCTATTGCACCAATCTTTAATCGATTTTCATCAGTTATCATCACTTCCGGAACTCTTTCTCCATTATCGCTATATCCAACACTACTTGGATTTCAGCCAACAGTCAGCGAGTCATACACGCTTACCTTCCAGCGACAGAGTTTCTTGCCGGTTATTATTACGCGTGGAAGCGATCAGGTGGCCATAAGCAGTAAATTCGAAGTGAGAAGCGATTTGGCTGTGGTTAGGAATTATGGGATGGTGTTGGTGGAGATGTGTAAGATTGTGCCAGACGGTGTGGTTGCGTTTTTCCCGAGTTACTTGTACATGGAAAAAATCTTAAGCGAGTGGAATTCTCTGGTTCTTTTCCATCATTGTGTCACTTACATGGTTAATTTTGACCTTAATGTGTGCATTTTTAGGGTATTCTGCAAGAAGTGTTAAAGTATAAGCTGATATTCATCGAAACGCCGGATGCCGCAGAAACTTCAATTGCTTTAGAGAATTATCGCCTTGTAAAAGAATTCGTTGAGTAATCATGGTAATTCATTGATTTTTGGATATTTAGGCGTGTGACAATGGACGAGGGGCAGTATTAATATCTGTCGCAAGAGGAAAGGTGTCAGAAGGTGTCGATTTTGACCACAATTACGGGCGCGCGGTAGTATTGTTTGGAATACCTTACCAGGTAACATTCTCGCACAGTTCGGCACGCTTTCAATTTTATATTAATGCTTTTATATTGAAACAGTACACCGAGAGCAGAATTTTGAAGGTATTAAACATTATTCAAAAGAAGAATTATCGCACTAATATGTAAGCTAGGCGAAATTGGAGTACTTAAGGGACCATTTCAAAGTTCGAGAAAACGATTTCCTTACGTTTGACGCAATGAGACATGGCGCACAATGTGTTGGACGAGTCCTTCGAGGAAAAACTGATTACGGAATAATGGTGTTTGCTGATAAGGTAAAAAAAAATAATATTACATCCGTTTTGTTGATAATCGTTAACAATAAAATCATTTTCATTCAGAGATTCGCGAGAGCTGATAAGCGATCTAAACTTCCAAAGTGGATTACACAGGGTATCGATGAAGGATCAACGAATTTGTCTACAGATATGGCGATTTCAAGAGCAAAGATGTTTTTAAAGCAGATGGCGCAAACTGTGGTATATTCGGGAAGCAACAATCCTCAATTGGGAGTTAGTATACTTGATGAAGAAATGGTGAAACAGAGAGAAAGTTTGCGATTGCAGAAAGCAAATCAAATGGATATTGATGGATGAAGTTGTCCTAATTAACTATTAAAAAAAAGAATATGATTGTAAACAGATTGTAATTAAGCCTTCCTCAGCATAACAGCGAAACATAACAATCCCCAGAAACATGATAAAACGCCAAGCAAAACAAAATTTTATTAATAAAAAAAATGAAATTCCTAGGACAACAGCCTAAGTTTGCTATGAAATTTTACCAGCTTAGAAACCCCCATTGATTTAGAATAATTGTCCCATTGGTTCCAGGAATGCAAGTTCTGGGTGTTTAATGATATCGCTTGTCTACCAACAATCAGACGGATGAGTGAATAAAATCAGCAGCGCCATGAACGAAATTGCATTCAGCTCACAAAGCGTCCTTGGCAAGAAGTGGATTCAGTGAGTTTATTCTGGATGTTAAGTGTTTGACTAGCTATGTGACGGTTTAAAAGCGGGTCGGTATACAATCTTTTAATTTCAATGAATAACTCACTAATTAATGTGATTTTATAGACCATATCCGAGTTTTTACAATTCCAAACTCGATATGGATCCCCCGCGACCATCGCAAGATCAAGAATCACTATATTCCGAATTCTTCAACGTCAACTTCATAACCGTCGCCGAGTTAACAACATTTACAGCAAGCGGACAACCAAGTACGATCCTGGATAGCATTCTCCGACCTCTAAAAATTGATAAATAAATAATCGAAAGCGTTTTCCGCTTATACCCATTTTCATACGACCCGACAACGACGTACCATACAAAAGTATTCTGTTTTGATCCAAGTTTACCTCCTAGTTTATATGGTAAACTAGGGTTAATACACGGTATCGTGAAGCTGTTGCAAAGTCAATCGGAAACTTATTTTGGACCGGTTGTAATCGGGTCGCCGTACATTAGTGCTTCTACCGGTCGCGCCACTGTTACTGCTTCGAGCGCAATTTTTGTTGGTGGAATCTTATAAGGAGTTGCCGGAGTGGATGTGAGGTTGGATAAGTTCTTGGACGATTTTGGAAAACATAGTCGTATGTTTAAAAGCGGTTTTATTTTTATTATGAATAGCAATGGAAATCTAGTAACCTAGTAACATTTACTATTGCCTCTTATTTTTACAATTTATGGTGTATTTTTTCCTCAGTAAAGTGATGCGAATCCGTTGAACAAGAGAGACCTCTTTTCAAACATCACCAACATCGGACTGCGAATTTCTTATCTCAAGTAAACAAAAAAACTCATCGGGAACCACGGTTGAATTGAGGCTAAACAATATCGATTACAAGCTCTCCAGCACAAAAGTCCATGGAACAGATTTCTTCGTCGTTGCCCTAGTCCCAGCAGACGAATTCAACGCCAGAAACGATTTAAAATCCAAAACGGGAAAATTTAGCACCTTTGCGGTGATTTTGATCTCGTTATTGCTCGTTACTGCAGCAGTCGCTTCTTATTGAACCCGATAGTGGAGATAACAAGGATTTTGGAATGTCTGAAAAATTCAGATTTCAGTGTGGATATTGGGGACACTCCTAGAGCGAGCCAAGAGATTAATGACATTTCGGTTATGAAATGCAGCGTATTATGCCGGAGATATGGAAAAGCTTTGGAAAATGTAAAGAAAGACTCTTTATGTTACTGTTCTGAAGATGTTTATTTAATTATTTTTTCTGTTCAACTATTTGGAAGCGGAGAAGAGAATGATTGAATTCAATAATGCGAAGGGACTGGGAATATGTAAAACAACCAAGGAAACGTGTACTCACAAATGGGAGCCTACCAAGGAACAACGACTGCTTTAGCATTCGCTGACACAAATGGCTTGGTTTTTCCAGTTGCTATTTTAATTCAGCTAATTTTTTCCATGCTTCTAAAGCAATCACGCTATTGGAACGTGAGATCTCGCAAGATGACTGAAATAAATGGGACCAAGTTATGGCCAACCAAAAAATGAACTTGGGTTCCAACTATTCCATGGTCGAAGATTATTCACAGGCCGAACTAAACTTTAACGATGCGATGGTTTGTTTTTTCGACACGATAACTCTATTGGTATTGCGCAAGTTAGTGGGAATATCGCGCAAATGCAATCAAAGCAAAGTTTGGTAGAGAAAGCGGAATTATTGGTGAATGACGCTTATAAAGTAGCGAAAGAGAGAGGTGAATCGATGGGGCTTCAGTATGCAATGATGAATATGAATCAAGGTTCCCTGTGTGTTGGGCAGGAAAAGAAATTAGAAGCTCTTTGGTGGTTTTTGGGTATTCGTGTTTGGTTTTGTGCTGAAGTTTGATTATTATTATTTTTTTTTTTAGCGGTTCTTATGCGGTTCCCAGTATTAGTCTTTTACGTGCAAAAAATTGCATTGAAAATATCTTTGCTCTATGCGCAGATCCAGAAATCATGATCAATCGACCAGACATTGCAGAAAAGAAAGATTCACAACATATACAATATGAATCACACACCATCTCAAAAAATAAAAGCCCAATTTTAAACACCAACAAATTGTCGAACCAAAACTGTACGCACCTAAAGATCTTGCCTTTACTCTTGACTTTTCTAGATCTATGGGAGGGTCAAAGATAAGTACGAGTTGAAAATCAATTGAAGACTTCATCCTTAACCACACTTCCAAACACGATCGAGTCAGATTATACAAGTTTTATAATCAAACCGAGACGGTTTTCGAGTGGATGTTTTCAACGCCCAAGAACAAAGATTTAAGGATTCAAAAGGTCTGCAAAAACACTAACATTGGTGGTCGTACGGCGTTATGGGATGGAATCAGAACGACGATTGATGCAATGAATCGAGACAAGATGGAAAACTCACCTGGTTAAGCTCAGTGGGTTTTTGTGCTTTAACTGACAGCAAAGACAACCAGTTGAAAATAAGTTGTGATGATATTGTTCAAACATTATGCAACTCACCCGAAATTGGACTTATTATAATTGGTGTTGGACATCTTACATACGAAAGTCAACTTCGGCGAGTCTGTGAAGTAAGTCGCAGGGGGTGGAATGTATATTAAATCTGATACTACGTCTGAAGCAATCGCTACAGCTACTAGTGTGGTTACCAGCTTTGATTTCAAAGTTGAGAGTCTGTAAAGAAAAAAAATGGATCATTCACGTTATTTTTTGGAACACTCATTGAATATATCAAACAGATGGCCCAATTTTAGCAAAAGCTCTGCCAAAAATCATTTTTTTGGAATGCCGATTTTATATAATTGAAGAAAATCCTGCAAAAAATAATTTCTTTCAAAAAAAACATTGGAAACAAGAATAAAATTTTTACTTTATGTACAAGCAAATGAACCCAAAAATTTACGTGCCCGTTTAGCTCATATGGTTAGAGCGCTTGCCTAGTAAGCAAGAGGTGTTGAGTTCGATTCTCAAAATGGGCATCCAATTTTTTTCCTCGATCTCTCTCTTTATTTTTTTTTTTTTTTGCTCCCTCACATCAGCAATGAACTTTCGTGATGTTACGTTCATAAATTATATGTATTCTTTTCTTTTTTGAAACAAAACACCACCTGATTGTATTATTTCAATCAATCAATCACTTGAACATCAGAATCCATTGGGTCATCATCACCAGCCTTCCCAACCTCATCCTTCGTCAAATCAACAACTTCCGCAACACTTTCACCAACCTCATGACTCTCTCCACCAACCTCATCTAAATCCTCAACCCTCTCCGTACTCTCGTCCACACTCGCATCAGTCTGTCCATCCTCCTTCGAATCCTCCTCAGCAACCTTCTCATCCCCACCACCACGTTCATCTTCAACATGAATTTCTTCCGCTGTCACAGCAACATTTTTCGGTTTATTGAAATTCCTGTATTCTAGTAAAAGTGATTTTGAAGAAACTGAAGTTGTGATTTGCGAGAATAAATGCATATGGTGTCGTGACGCGATTCTGAATGCTCGCCAATTGAATTGCTATGGGAAAACGTTTGAAATGTATTATGAAAGTTAGTTATAAGAGAATGTGGGTTGTTTTTGGGTTTTTACCGGATCGCGGTCTAGCATGTACTCGGGTTCAATACCTTCCTCGTATTCACCTTTTTCGTCGACTAGTACATCTAATTCTTTAATAAATTCATCAAACGATCCACTCGCGTTTCTAAACACCATAAACAAGAAGAGAAAAAAAAAATAATCAATGTTTTGACTGATTACAAGAATAAAAAAAAAAAAAAGGTATTACTTTCTTCCTTTTTCTTGTAATATCGATTCCATTGCATTCCCATTCGCCCATAATTTTGAGAGTTCTTCAGTTCCAACCCAATTTTTATTCCGTGCAACGATACTCGGTGTATTCCACTTCCACTACCAACCAAACATACCCAAAATAAAAACATAAAATCAAAAAATCCGGATCAAAAACAATAAAAAAAAAAAAAAATGCAAGGGGTCTACATACAACTTTCCGTCGCTTCTCAACACAATCCCGTCCATCATCTAACCCAACAACTTCTTTTTCAAATTTCACACACATCTCGTTCTTCCATTTCACCCAATTTTTTTCATGAGATAGGACAGTAATGATTGTTTTGTAAAATAGTTTTTGGATAGGTGTGGGTTTCAACGCATCAAACGATTTCGTAATTTGTGATTTCGCGTCGACCAAAAACGTTTCCTACATAATTCGTGTTTTTTTAGTGATATGTGTGTCAATCGATCTGGTTAAATGTGTCTTAGGGTTCTTACTTTCTCGGAATCGAGTTTCCCGTTGTATTCGGTGAATTGAACCAATTTGTTGATGGCGGGTGGCGGGTATTTCTCCCATAATTGAGTTTGTCGGTCTCGTTCTTTCGTACTAAACCCGAGTAAAAATTGAATCACGATCAACATCTGTAACAAAATCTGTCTCCGAAACGATATATCTTGTAGCTATAACAACGGAGCATGATCAGGGGTAAGAAAAAAAAAATAAAAGGAGAAGGAAAAGTGATGTGGGTACTTCGAGTTCAAATAGTTTTCGGTCGGTTAAGAATTTAGGGAAAAAGTCATCCCGGTTGAAACTTGAGGAGTCACCGTCGATTTCCATATCTTGATTTCGACCACGTTTTTGGAGAGTGTGGAGTGGGGTGTATCCAAGAGTTGCTTTACTCCACGACGTAGTCGCATCTAATTCCAAAAACTTTTGTCTCGTCATCGAAACTCCCTGCCATCAACGATAAATAATAATAAAAAGAAAAAAAAATAATACTCGCTTACGTTTTTAAATTTTTCAAAGTGGGTTGAAGACTGCAGAACCAACAACGGATTCGAAAAATACACCTGTAATCCCCAAAACACATTATAAAACCTACTCAACTCATTCCCCTCACTCTCACCAATCGGGGTATAAACCGTTGTGTTTTCTGAATTAAAGTCGCCACGGAGGTTTACTCCGCTTCGTTCGGAGAGCGGGAAAACCATTGCGAGGAAGAGGAGGATTCGGCCGCATGTTTCGGTGTGTTTGGTTTTTGAGAGACGGCGAAGAAGTTCGTTACAGAATCTGAGCAGGACTAGGCCTTTTCCTTTTGATGGATCCATTCCCTAGAGTATTGAAATAAGTTTGTTAAATGGAATTGAACTTGGAGTGAATTGGTAGGGACCTCGGTTAGTCTGCCTTCACGTTCTTCTAGGTAGTCAAAGAGACGGACGGCGCCTTCGATGGTCAGCATGTCAATCAAGTCTTCGAGCAGGATGAAGGGGAGGGTCTGGTCGCAAACGACTTGGCTGTTGTTGAGTTTGAATTCGGAGCAGGAGAGAACCAGATCCAGGACAAGAAAGAGAGTCGAGAACAGAGAGTCGTCGATGGCTGAAGGCGTGGCTGTGGAGAGGATGTTCACGAGGACCTGTTTGAAGGCCAGAGAGAGCAAGTCCTGGGCATCCTGGGTCTGGCTGAACAGGGGGACTAGGAACTGCTTGGCTGCTTGCGAAATAAGTGTCTCGCGAGAGGAAATGGCGGAGTACTGCGGCTCGTGGATGTGTGACTGGATGAAGGAGAGTGCTTGTTGCAAACCCTCCATTTTGGATTTTGACGACTGGTCATTCTCTGCAACCACAAAGAGTTTCAATTGATGATATTTATTAGATATTTGTTAAACTGATCATGTCTTTGATTTTCTTGGTATTTCGGCGGTAATTAAAAGTTTGATTTTTCTTTTCATTTCGATGTCGATGTCATTGATAAACTTCTTTTTCAAAAATGTTTTCCCGCACTCTCTTTTACAAACTCCCTTCCATTTCACGCAAAATAAATAGTATTCTTATGCTTCTAACGTGAGCATCAATTCAGAAATTTTTTTATCACGCTTTAAACGTGTGTTAACGTATCGCTATCGTCTGGGAAGTGTGATTGCAGTAGCGAACAAAACGTTGAATTAGAATTAATTGTTTTGCTGTAAAAAAAAATATCTTGGTGACTTCTGAAATTTTATCCAATTCGAACACCATTTGATCGATGATAACGCTTTTAAACAGCTCGATAGATTTACATAATAAGTTTTTGGAAAGTTCACCTCATAATTTTTATTGCAACTTTACTGGATGAGGAAGTGAAAAAATAAAACAACAGGAAAAATCGAAAATAATAGACGCTTGAGTGAATCAGTTACAACAAGCAGTTGCAGATTCTTCTTCCTTCACATTCGAACTTAATTTGTAAGGAAGGAAAATAACATGACCAAGTGCTAAACCAACGATTACCGCTGTGAAAATAATCACGTTGAACGACATTGCTGCCAACATCAGTAAATAACCGACCAAAACGTCCGCAGCATGGAGCAAAAAGAGCAAAGGTGTATACAGGATTGTCGTTCTTGTGTAGAACAAAGTCTTGTAGTCCAATTTTTCGTCCTTTGTGGTTTTATAACGCCCTTCAACAAGCTCTTTGAGTAAGTATCGCTCGATTTGAGGGCGAGTGGCGAGTAATCCTTCGACCAAAATTGCAAACGCAAGCAGTAAGAAGAACGAGCCAGCGTATTGACCGCCTGTTCTTGGCACCCAACCATAGAATAAGACGTAAGTAGCCTCGTTGTGGAAGTACATCTATTGCGATAAACCCAAATTAATCAGATGAACGGTGTTTATGAAGCACTTTCATTACCTTCATGACGGGAGGGGTGGTCATTGAATCACCCCCACAGAGACTGTAAAGTTTTGAAGCGTTGTTGGCGGTGCACATCTTGTTCCAATCGCTACATTCGTTCATGTTTGGCATAGCTATGCAGAGACTTGAATAAACCGCCAATAAATCACAGTTTCCGTACGCAGTGGGAGATGCGAACGTACATTTCTCGCACCCATCCATAGTATGCGAGGTGCAAATGGATCTCACCGCTTTATTTACGCTTTCGGTGGTGGGAAGTGAAGCTAGCGGCCCAATCTACAATAAAAAAAAATTCTCGGTGTTACAAAAGTGAAAAATATATATTTCCAAAAAAAAAAACTGTTAAATACCGTGCATTGCTTGACAGTGCTGTTTGATGGCCCGCACATACTGACATAATTTTTGCATCCGCGCATTTTGTTCATAGTTCCGTCCGCCGAACAAGTATCAGCCAAAATACTAAGCGGCTTACAAAATGAGCTGTCTCCCAAAAGACTCGGGTTCGCGCTGCATTGCTTTTGAATTGAGCAACCGGTCATAAAGTCCATTTGCTTGCATAAATCGTCGTTGTCCGCTTTTATCATTTCGGTGGGGTAGGTGTAGTCGGTGCAATTTCAAGCCCATGGTTGAGTCACGCAGAACGGAGCGATGGTCGTAGAGTTGGAAGCACCCATGTCCATTCCCATTTGAGCCAAGACGGAAGTGGTGGCAAACGTGAGTGCTAACATGTAAAACATCTGAAAGTTGCTAAAAAGAAAATAAT